TTAGGGACACATGGTATTCTTGGGCTGCATTTAGTGAGAGCCTTATAAAAGCTATTATATTTCATTCCATCTTTATATCGTTTATTATACATGTAAAACAAAGATTGAATGATGCCACGGCGCTGATAACGCGTTCCTCGAATGCAGTTTTAGTAGTTAATATTACGAGAATATTATCACAATATTGTACAAAATACGTTTCTGCATTGGATTTTTCGCGGATATTTAATATCACAACAATATTTAATTTCATTATTTAATATTGCAGCGATATTGATATACTCCTATTATCATGTAACATTATAGCAATTTTTGTAATGTTATTGCAATATTACATCACGTGAAGATATACTAGTAGTCCATATAGCTCGCTTAGCATCTCTTGAAAAAAATTAGGACTCTATAGAACAATGAACTTATATTAATATTAACTTTTTTTGTTATTTTTAAGTTCGTAATTATCTGCCGAATGATTGATCTTCAATTTTGAAACATCTTGTATATAAGAAGATTAAATAATACACAATTTTCCTTTCTAATATCTGAGATTTTTCGCTAAAATTGGCTTCGGAAATGTATTTTTATTATTTTATCACTTTTCCAATAACTACTGAGGATACATAACTTTTTTAAATTTCTTGACTTTCTATGAGACGCAGTGGTAGATTCCTTGAATATTACTGTAATAATCGGTACTTCAGTATTTGCCGATCGTTCTCTAAGCAATCTTTTAATTTAACATGTAGGAATGTTTAAGATATCTTTCTATCGTTATTCATGATGCAATGTGACTCGACCATACGATTCCGCTTTGTTGCAATATATTATGAGTAATGGTGGGTAAGTTCTGGTTGAAATGTTGTCTTAACCTTAATCTTTCTCTATATATAACTTTATTTTAATTAGCGACAAACACGCCTATTGTCACCCCACTCTCATTGTGCCCCACCTTTAATATACGTAATACTGGTGCGAATGTTTCGAAGTAACACGCACTGTTTATAAATTTATTTCTAATATATAATAAAAACATTTATCTCTCCTATATTGATATATATAGTTATAATTCTTATTTCTCGATCATTTTAAGTAATATTTTAAGATATTAATACGACTCAGAAATGTTTATGAAATTTTGTAAGGCTACTTAGGATGATTTTAAATAGAATAAGAATGCGTCATATGAGATTTTGCATTCTCATGTAGCAAAATGACTTCGCGACAATTTCCCGTATCAAATGTTCACGACGCTGTCAATACAGTTTATGTTTCATTTAAATAATCCTTATAATTTTCTTCATATAATTTGCCTAATTCTAAACATTAATATTATCAACAATTTTAGAATATGTTGATAAAATATTCTTAATGATAACTTTATTTATAACAATATATTATTCAACAATGTACATGTGGACTACAAATGTACGTGATTATATATATAAAATGTATAATATATAGTGTTATATATATATGTATGTATATAAGAAGATATAGAAAAAATGAAGTCTGTGATTATACTGTGTGATATACTGTGTGATACTTCTTTTACATAAGTATTATTTTGTTGCGTAATATGATTTCAAAATCCTAATAAAAAAAATAAGAACAATTTTATTCAACATGATCCCTCGATTAAATTAAATAATATTAATATTTCTATCATAAATAACATCAAAAATTTTGAATTTGAACTTAAAATTGAAACACAAATATTTTTTTAAGTAAAAATAACTTCTACCATATTCTTGTAATTTTGTTTTTAATATGATTGAATATTGAAGTAAATATTTATAGTATTCTTTATGCAGGACAAAGCAATTTATTTAGTGTTACTGAAATAAACTTTTGTTTGAAAATAGAATTTTATTTTTTATTTTGTAAGAACTTTATTTTTATTTTTTATTAATAAAAAATAAAATATATTATTGATTTAAACGTTTATGTAGCTTTAAATAGTCTTGGAGGACGATCAAGAAATTAGAATGAATAAATCAAATAATTACAAAGTAACACAAAACTGGTTATTGCTAATTAGTTTTTTTTATTCACGAGTATAAACTAAATAATAGTATTGATATAAAAGAATACATATAAATATGGATTAGATAAGCAAGATACAAGTTAATTCTAAGCTGCTTTATCTATTCCCTTTTCCGCTACTACATACTCATTAAAAATTATAATTTAGTTATTCTCCTTCTCTTTTACTTCAAATGGTTTGATCAAACGATAATCATGCGCAGAATATACGGAAAACTGCATAAAAGCAAATGACATTTTCATTCCACGCATGTGCTATAAAAATTAAAATGACTATTGAGGGGACGTTTGAAAAAGGGGGAGTCTGTAATATATAAAAGCTCGATATGTTACACTTCAGTCTATGTATACTCTTAATTCACTTTTGTTGTACATTTATTCAGATTATTTTGGTGTAATTTTGTGTGTTAGTCTGCAAAAAAATCTTTGTTTAAAAAATGTTTGCTGCATTCTTTGCTTTTGTGCTCATAACAGTACATGCTGCAGAAGAAATACGTAAGTAAATAATAATATTTATAATATATTTATTTCCGTCACGACGCACGTAATATTAATTTTCTATCAAAGAAAGAAATACACTTGTTTTGAAATTATATTATTTTGTAAGTTTGCGCAGTTTTTATAGTGGTTTTAGAACTCTTAGTAATTTGATAAATGTAAAAGATTAATAATTAACTATACATAATTTTCTTTAAAGAAAAATTTAATATTAATTAAATAACAAACAAGAAAATGATCTATATTTTTTTTCTCACGCAAGTGTTCCATTACACATTTTATATTATTTGCCAAGGATGTGGAATCTTGAAGTAAAAATCAGTTTAAAGTCTTATACCTTTTATAAGCCATGACAAGCAACTGGAGTAAAAATATATAACAACATATAATAACTTTTTTCAAATATTACAAAATAATTTATTATAAATATTAACCCCACTTTAGACGATTTATAATTCTGCGACGATCAACCTTGGAACAGAATTTTATTTATAATTCTGCGTGTTGTGTATAATGTAGAAAATATTTGAAGAAGTAAAATTTACACATATACAAAATACATGTTAGAATATCCATTTATATTTAGAATGTGTGATATATAAAATTATAAGTAAAATTTTATTTTGAATTTGGTCGCGAAATATAGATCGTCTAAAGTGGACTTTAAAGACAAATTGCTTAGTTGTTTATATATTTCAATTGCATTACAAAAGATATACATTATCTTTATTTTGAAATAATCCTTGTATTACAACTTATTTCATCTTAGATAATTTAACATAAAGTTATAAGTTAAATAATTTAAAGTTTGTTCTTTTTTTTTACTATATATATTATATTAAATACTTTTATAAAATTTAAACTCTTTATAGCTTCCTATCTTCACGTGTGTGGTCGCAATAATCCTAATTATAGTCAGTGCATCGTGGACACCATCAATAATATAAATAATAAAATTTGTACGGGAATGCCGGAACTTAACGTTGCTCCAATCGAACCAATGAATATCGACGAAATAATTATTTATAACACAGACAATCTTAAATTAAATGTCAAAGAATCGAAAATAAGAGGATTCTGTGATTTCGTCATAAATTCTTTACAAGTATCCTCTGATAAGCTTCACTTCGATTTTGATTTTGTACTTAAACATCTTGATATGGAGTCTGTGTACAATTTCGATATGCGTGTATTGGTACCACTTGCTAATAAGGGACTGGTTCACGTTTCTGCAGGTATATAGAATGATCAATATTATATTAAAATAAAATAATTTATTTAGAGCTATTTATTTTAATACAAAAAATTCTCAAAATTTGTTTTTATTTCATAAAAATTACCGACTTATGTTTTTTCCGCAGATAACTTAGAAACGAAAATAACTATAGACTTTAAAGAGGAAACTAAGAACGGTAAAACGGAAATATATGTATCAAAAGTAAACACTATTCTTAACGTTAAAAAGTTCAAATATGAGTTTGATGACAGCGAGAAGGATTTGGTTCAACTACATGAAGCTCTTACTAATATTGTAAATGAGAACGAAAAGGATATTATCATTAAAGTTAAACCGGCACTGGAAGAGGCGGTCTCCAAATTAATTATTACAATTGTTAACAATGTAGTCCGTAACAGATTTGAGCAATTGTTTCCCAACGAAGCATAATGTGAGATTTATTGTCGCAAAGAGTCACTATATGCATCTATAATATGTCCGATCCA